CTTCGCCTCCAAATTTGGCGAAGTACTATTAGTCATCAATCCCCGAGACTTTTTGGTTACCAAGGAGTGTTCATTAGACTTTCGACCTTTCATCTCTGCGAGAGCAATGGATATATTAGACTTGTCCGGGAGGATAAAAAGACTGTCTTGCATACCCAGCTGGTCATCTTTTAGGGCAACTGGCGACAAAATGTTGCGAGGATTTTAATGGAATTAGTTGCCAGACACGTCGTACGTTGGGAAGCCCCAGCGAGGAGGTCGTATTTTGTCGTAGCAGGGGAGTGGTGGAGGTGGGGGCGAGGGGGGTCGTAGCTGCCTTTGAGTGGAATCGTTTGAGCTGTTGACGGTTGCTGACTTTCCTGCAAGTGCGCTATATATTCTCGCAACCGCGCGGCGGTATTTTTCTGGGGGAAAAGTGGTAGGAAGCCCGGAAACTCAGGAATATATTAGGTAGATGGGGAACGGGGTAGGGGTGGGGGTTTTTACCGGAGGAGAACTTCCGAGGAGTTTGTATGTTGCATCCAAAAAAGAACCAATTAGCGCCAAAAGGTTTGCTCTTTTGCATGATCTCCAGTCTGAAAATGGCTGTTTTTCCGTCTGAAATGGTCATTGTTAGGCGTTGCCTTTGTCGTTCAGGGGGGTGTATTGTTTCAAGCTGTGGCGTCTTGATGACAGCCCGTAGACAAAATTGATGAGCGATGGAAAGGTTTCGTTATCACGTGCAGGCGTGCGACTATCTCACACAGACGCTCTCAATGAATCATCTTCGCCGCGCCTGCGACGCTTACCTTTTGTGGAGTGTGAAGGCACTAAACCAGTTTTCTTTTTTTCTCTCACGAACAATCGTAGTAGCGCCTGGAAGTAGTAGTGTACGAGTTTTTCTTTCGGTTTCATTCAAACCTACAAGCGTTTCTTAAGTCAAAACTGCCTAAATGTGTGTTACAAGGACAATTCAAGTAGCAGAATGGTTTTCTTTTTTGAGCACCCAAGGAGTAAAATGCAATAACTCGATGGGAGTCGTTGTTGTGGTGATTACGGTTGTAGAAAGTCCAGGAAAGAGCGTAAAAGTGTAAGAGTAAGTAGGTACCGATCAATTCGCAGTTTGTGTTGAGGCGCGGGGGGGAGGGCATTTGGACTTCCTTCATCGAGTTCATTGCTTTACAAGAGTTGACAAGTCTCCCTATAAACTTCGGCTGGTGTCTTGGTGGTTCCACAAGATTTTGCAGGATTTCACTTGATGGCTCGACATGATGACGGAAAATAACGAAAGTGGAGAGTGCAGAATGCCCCCCCCCCTTTCCCGACCGACTGGGCTAACCAAGTCAGGCCATGCATTCAGCTCACATTTATGAGTGCAGAAGCATTCGAAGGGCGAGGTCATGTGGTGTTCACGTCTATTATTTTGCCGTCAGGACACAACACCATGAAAGGGGAAATTTTCACAGACGCCTGCGACCTCACCACCGCCGAGCGGGGAATTTAGAAAAACGAAAAACTCAGCACTGAGGGTCACGGGTAATGAGAGGCAGGTTAATCGAGGTTTAAGAATGTGACCTCGTGTCTGCAATCTGAGCCACGAGTTTGATCCCTGCCGAGACGCAAACCAGCGTCAGGCCCGGTTGACAGGCCGGTTGATGGACCCCCCGCATCAGTCAACAGTGGTGTATCCCCTTTTATGGATCTGTGTCCCTTCCTCAATAGGCAATCCATCAGGTATTATGAAGGGTTGTGTTCCGAACAGGTCTGATAGTAAGCACAGGGACAGAATCTCTGCGCTCATGGATGGTATTCGGTTCTTGAGCCATAAAAACGGTTAGACTTTTGGCGTTGAAATGCATGTGTCAGAGAAAAAAAAACGGCCTTTTATAAAGATGAGCGAATCTGGCTGGCTGGTCATTCATCAACCGTTGGTAATCTGTAGCGTAGTAATTATTGACCAGCTGTTCCAATTTTCCAGTGATAAGAACTTTTCTATGAGGAATCCCTATATTCCCAAGACGGTTGGAAATATGCCAGTCTTGTATCCCAATCTGGAATATCTTAGTTGCCTGGGGAAGGGGATTTCCCATGGGATACTGACGAATGATTGCGGGCTTGATCTGGTCGCAGGGCTTCTGTCAAGCGGAAGGTTTTTCGCTGCCAGGTTCCAGGAGTATTTTTCCATCGCATCTACTGGCCGAGTATCTGAAGGCAGGGAAGTAAGGAAGAGGGAGGAGAGGAGTAAGGAAGGAAAAGAAAAAAGGGGGAGGAAGGCGCTTGGCACACATTGTGGGACCGATCTCGTATGAAGTGTAACTTTTATCATGGGTTTGTCAGGACGAGAAATCTCTAGTGCAGAAATTTGCGGAAAGTTAGGCAGCACAGTTTCCTAAAGCTTGTACGCCGTAATTGTCTTGGTCCCAGTCTTGAGATAACCGGGCGCTGGAGAGCGAGGAGAAACGCAGCTCCCAGACGAAGCAAGTTGCACTTGAAATTAATATATCAATTTCCCTACCACTGTGTTAACCAGTAAATTAATAGGCGAAACCCCGTAGACAGTAAAAACCCTCTGCACTGCGCCGCTGTGAACAGGGTAATGCACTGCAACAAGGCTTATGTGGAAACTACAGTGAATTGGCATCAACTCCGTCTATTTTCAGGGATTTCTACCGTACGAATGATGTCCGTCCACCGTACACATATGCATCGCTTATACGACAAGCTATTATGGAATCACCTGAATGTCAATTGACGTTGAATGAGATCTACACCTGGTTTACCGAGACGTTTGCATATTTTCGAAGAAATGCTGCCACCTGGAAGGTGTGTCGTATTTAATTTCTTTATTATTTTTAATTTTGTTGTTTATGGTAGACGTTTATCCTCCCATTGATTGGTTCGTAGGTTTGTGGGAGTTGTTGTTGACTGGACTTGGAGTGTTTTGCTGGCTGTCGTCGATTGATGTTCGTAGAGTGCGGCATCCTAGTAGTGCATTGGCGCTTTTTCATGAGTTGAAATGCGCCGGGCGCATGCGTAAGCGCGAGGCAGGCAGTCCCAGCAGTTGTGCGTACCAATGAGTGTGTGAGAGAAAGTAGGAGAATGAAAAGAAAGATTGTACTTTTAGTCGTCGTGTTGTGTTTTGTGTCTGTAATTACGCCGCACATTGTTTTCGATGTTCTTCTAGGAGGGACTTGAATGAAATTTCACTAAGGTTACCCGTGACTGGATGTGTACAAGCTTTTTAATAGATTTAATGGTGGTAATTTCGGAGAGGCATACCTACAAGCTTTTTCAACGTCTTCAAACCCACCGTGTGTCACCCTGCAAGCCCTGTGAACTCCTTTCAAGCACCCTGTAAAATCCTGCCAAGCTTGGTGAGGGGTATGTGGCAAGAGAATCGTAATTCGCCGCGCTGGTGGGCGTCGCGTGCGACTTCGCACCGTAAGTGGCGATGGTACGAGGTAGTAGATGACGACAACAGACAATTCAGAACCGAAAATAGTCATGAATGTCTACGATGACGGGGTCTACATGAAGTCCGGTGCTCCAATCGACAGGTTAACACGAGTTAAGAAAACGCCGCGTCCAACGCCACGCGCGACGGAGCGGCAATTTACGATTCTCTTGCTCGTCTTCTCTTGGTGAGATCGTATTTGCGTCACGAGCACGCCATTTCGCCATTTTCCACAAATCTTGACCAGTCATTTTGATAAGTTTTACAGGAGTTCACAGGGTCCTGACAGGTGGTAACAAGGCTCACAGGGTGTTGAAAGGTTGTCCGGTATTCACCGGTATACAGTTTACAGGATTTGGTAGGCTGACAGGCGCCTACTGGGATGCCCCTCCCCAGGTTATCAGCGCTGATTCGAATGAGGAAGTGGTGGTGGGGTGGTGGCGCGTGTTGGGGTTCTCCTTAAGCTTGCATTATAGGACGTCAAGGGTTGACCTGTAATAGGAACTACTTGCAAGAGTGCACGTCATACCTTGGAGAATCCCCAGTGAGGGTCTTCTAGGGTCGCTGAAAGTGGGCGGCGGAAGGGAGGGCAGGAATCCGGGAAGACTTTTGAAGAGCCGGGATACCCCTATATGGGTTAGATTAGTGATTTTCAAACTGATTCATCTGGTCGAGAGCTTCTTAACCCTTCAGGCTGAGGCATGTCTCCGCTTTTGTTATGGTGATCCTAGTTTTGTGCAAGGGATCCTTTAAAGCCCCCCCCCCTTCCCTCTCCACTCATACGGTTATTATTGCCCAGTCGTCCATGAGAAGAGGGTTTCAAGAGAGCATGGATACTATTCCACAAAGAAAAAACCCCACTAACAACCCCTGGTTGTTAATTTCCTAGTGATTACGCTGCCTCCCTTTTTCCGGGTAGTTATCGAAGGCATAACATACGGGAACTACAGTAATCCTTTTATTCCTGAAATTCAGTGAGAAACTTCAGAGCTGGTAGCAAAGTGAAATTTTGAGTTTATTTTGGCAAAAAACACGAAATTTGCGGGCATAGTTTCATATTACTTTTTTTTATTTATTATACTTGTGTGAAACAGAAAAGTCCCCATATAATTTCATTTGTTTAGCTTATATTTATTACGCGAGATGTAAATGATAAAATTAGGTTGCTGAGTCAGGTCTTTGGATAAGTCCTGCATTCGACTGCTTAGAGAAGTGGCTTCTGAAGGCAAGTGCGTGGCCCAGAGATGTTAATTTCAATGCGTTCAGCAGGATAGGCCGGGGCCTTATTTGCTTCTGAGCCCCAAGGATGAAGGGCCTCTGATGTTGGACAATTCTGCTCTTGTATGGGCGGGCCAGCTTGGCATGCGCCACGCATTCTATTGGTCGTGTTTGAAAAGGATTTGCCATTTACAATGGTTGCGGGGCCATCTGATGTTAAAGTTGGTGTCACATCCTCGTGAATCAATCTGCTACGGATTTACGGGCCCTGGTAGAATGGGAGGCTCGGTTAGCCGAGATTTGGCCCTCGAAGCGCGCCGACACCCATTGGCCCAGGATTGGGCAACTGTAGACGGTGAAGAGGTCGCCTATATTATACCAAACAGGCAGAAACGAATTCCCGGTTGAAGAGGAGGTTCGAAGGATCTGATCGCATCTAGCTAAATACTTCCTCCAGGATTACCTGTCGTTTGTTTAAATGCACTTTAGGGATCATTGAGTTCTCGTTAAACAGCCATTCATCTGTCGAGGCGCTAATGACCAAGCGAATCATGGAAAAAAAATCGCCGAATTAGATTCACGTGTGTACAAACGATGTGCAACGACGTCGGATACGAAAATTTGCGACAATTACGACGGGGTTGTCGCGTTGTTTGTCGTAAGAGGACACTTGGCGTCGGCGTTTGTGTTTCCCCGACCACGCGAAACCGCGTTGATGGTTGCGCGTTGTCGCGGTGTTGTCGTCGTCTTTCTGTCAACAAACTGTCTTCGCTCGCCTCGAGTTTTTTCACGGCCCCATTTTGCAAATTGAGGCCAGCGCGAGTGCGTTTTGACAAAGACGCAAACATACCCTATTTAGAGTTGGGCAATAGGGCGAGGGAAAAGTGGGTTAACTAGATTTGCATAGGGGGGACTGTTTTCGGCGTGTTCTGTACGGAACGAACAACGAATCGTGGAGATTCTTGGGTTATACAGAAGGACCTGCAGAACCGAGGGCTATGTTCAAAGGAAGTTCTGGAAAAGTTGCTTTGTCTGACCTATAATCATGACCTATATTGGGCCAAAGATTAGTAACAGAACATTCGGCTGGATGTGCCTAAGAAGTGCCCTTATTCAATCGTGTATACAGCTGGATGTTGAAGGTGCCACAATCAGGCACCTAGGCATTACCCGGCGACGGGGGGGTCGTGTTTGCTGGAAGGATAGTTCCAGTTTTTTGGAAACAGAGACCCTTTCTTTCGGGGGAGACAGGATACAATTATTGGATTCTCCCGGTGGTAGGTAGGATAGGGGAGGTAAGAGGCAGTCAGCTACCGATTTAAAGCAGTTGGCACGATAAATCGCTATACAAATGTAGGATTTATACGACTGGCTTCAACAGAATTCCGTGACCTCGGACAGGCGCTCCGTGGCGCCTTTCCCAAAGAGGTGCACTAAGCTCTATCGAGCAACATCAGTTCGCGCTCCAAGACGCCTTCCCGCCCGCCCATGGAGCAAATATATGAAGTAAAGACTGCGTATGAAGTGGCCGTGAATGCTGCATCTCTGTATTGGGGTACCACATAGCAGTCTATCTTCCGTATGTTATTGGCAAGATGCCGTACAGGAAACTCGTCCGAAATCGATTTACAAGTCACTGAGAACGGAGGCTTTTTCTTCGCAGGATTTTGACCGTTTCACTCCGTTCTTTCGCCATTTCCCCACTACATAGCGTCTAATATAGCATTAGCCGAGTGGGAATTATCGTTGCCAAACTGCTTAAGAATTTCGGGGGGGGCGTATTTTGCAAAATTTCTTCTCAACGGCAGGACGTGTCCTGCTCTACAAAGCTTTCACATGTTCACTAGGTTCATTTTACATCAGAGAATCTTCAGTGACGTGCATGATCACAATTGCAGACTCATCGACAGTTCCCCCATGATGACAATGAACGGACTGGGGCGGGGGGATAAACCATGGGTTCCATGATTCCTATCACTTGAGACGTGTCACCTATTTAAATAACGTTTCTGTTCAAAACGGAAGTCCAAATGGAATGCCCTAACTTAATTTCAAAGCCCTTGAAAATCCTCCAATGTCTGAATGGAACGTTGATCGTTTCATTTTGACAAGGCCATAAAGCAACACATGTGTACAACATTGCGTCGTCTCACCTGCGCGCGTCGTATTGTATTAATCTATGTCGCCAGGTCGCACGCGACCACGTAAAAAGCCGTCTGGCGACAGAAAAAGTCGCATTGCAGGCGACGTACTTGCGAGTACGAGACGACGTCGTTTACGTTGTCGAACAACTTGTAAATGTGATTATCGATCTTACAAAAAATGGACGCTTTGCTGAGGAAGCAAGGGACTAATAGAGCCGGTAGTATAGGGGTCAAGCGGTGAAGAGAACTAACCTAAAACATAACCAGAGTGCGTTCGTATACAAAAATTAGCGGTGTTCGGCTTGGAGGGGCCATTTTGCACCTTTGCTAGACCGTTCTGCTAGTTCATGTTAACTAACAGGTTACACTTTGGTGGAACTTGTAAAGTCTTGTGAAGGTAGGTAATGGTACAAGTGAGCTATTTGGTAACAGGAATTTACAAGCCGCCACAGGTTGCCTGTACAAGCTTTGCCTAGTGTTGTTTGGTGCCCCTCCAAGGCCTACTGCATCTAAAAACCTTTTTGAAATGCTCCATGCCTACAGTTACGTGCAGGATTGTTAGGTATTTGAATTCGTACCGAGTACTATACAACGCTAGGAGGGCTGGAAACATTTGTTTGGGTTTTTTCTTCTTCTTAACAACTACTCTGGTAGCAAGGACTACCCCCTTATATTCTTCGATGTGATCGAAAAAAGGAGCGGAGATGTGATACTGAGGTTGCACCTAAAGCGGGGAAAAATAACAATGAAAAATTTCATCAGACCTCAAAGCCCATTTCCTCAGCGACCGAATACAACCCACGCTGATGTTGGATCCAAGCGATGGTTTCGCTCTGATAATAACAAGTGGACCACGGAAGGATGAAAGGCTTCAGACCTGAGTAGGATATGATCTGTGGGCTGTACCGAGGGCTCGCTTGGTATCTCTTTGGTTCCGAACCGATACGATGTCGCTCGCGAACTAGCACTGTATTTCTTGGCTAGTTGACTTGATACACCAACGTCACGTTGAACCGGTTGGGTCCTGGAGCGAATGTCCCCACTAGCAGCGTGTAATTCGCCTCGTTCGCAGCGACTCCTGGCGAATGGTATGAACTGGTGGCCTGTTCTGCTCGAGCGGGTACGCTTGAAGAATGCCAATAAAATATCTGAGGCTTCTTTAGGTTTTTCTTTACTTCGTAATATTTGATTTGAAATAATGTTAAATAAAAGGCTTTCTTTACTGGTCACGAGCAAATGAAACACTTTCGTTATTGAAACGCATTATATTGTTCTCAGTAATCTGGTAGCTGGTAAAAAAAATGATCGTAATCTTACCCTACTCACGGTAACATATGTAGGATATTGTGACAAGTAACTTCTCTACTCCAAGGTGGTTGTTTCCCAAGAAACGATCGTGACCATAAAAGCCTGCGCCCGAAGTCATCGATCTGTGACATGAGAATGTTTTTCGGAAGTTTGAAAATTACTGGAAATTCCCGTTCCAGAATGCTGGTGCCGTCACAACTTTGTCGTTGGCACCTTTCAACGAGTCGAACAAAATGTGAAAGGAGCGGTATGGACAGTCGATGATAACGAGTTCTATCGACGACGACCGCAACGCACAGCCGCAACGCGTAGCCAACCAAATACACCACTTCCTGAGGAGGTTCGTTATGTTTTGTTTACAATACCATCTTTTTTCTATCTCCCTCGACTTTTTCGTGGCATTCTTTGAAATAGTTTGAATTTCTGACCTCCGTGCCAGGTTACACATGCAAGGGTGAATATCGATTTTACGCCCGCAGAAGCTTCGTTGAGTCCGTTGTGAAGTGGTTTGCTTTATCAAAGATGCCATGTATGGGAGCTGCCAGAGTTAGGGAAGGGCCGTGGGACGCGACTATGCCGCGTCTGCACGGATCGTGCGCGATCGGCTGACGTTCAACTTGAAAGATAGGGTGTCTATGTCTCGATGGGAGTGCGCAGACGAGCTGATTTAGTCGCGCTGCCTCGTGCCACCCCTTTAACTGCATTTGATGCCAATATACTCTGAGGGAAGTTTTTGCTTTAGAAGCGTAATATTCACTGGGTTCTATTTGGGTGCTAACGTAGTTTGGGGGGAGGGGAACCGTTCGCTAGCGCCCCGTTTCGATCCCTCTAATAAGGCTTGGACTTAGTGAAGCTCTGCAGGACCTATTCGGTAATCTGTTCGTCTGCTCCCTAAGCCTTTTTGGTGAACGGATAGAAAATTTGTAACCCTCCCTCCCTCCCTCCAACTATGATAGCGCATTTATTTCTTATTCGATTTTTTTTTTTGCCTTTATGTTAACGTTGTTTTTTATAGATGTTGGCTCAACGTTTTATCGACCAGACAGCTTTGAGTATGATGGAACGCCAAGAAGGTGGAGGAGTTCACTTGACCGAGAATTCTCTGTTGAATGGTGGTCTCGAAGGAGTTTTGTCATTTTTGGGTCAGTTATTTTTTTAGAATCTCCCTCAAAAATGACTGGATTACAATGTCTTTCCCAGCCAGTAAAGTAAGAAATTTTAGCGAATTCCGGCGACAGCAATCCGTTGGCGTTACTGTCAGCAGCGGCAGCAGCTTCTGAACAGAGCTCATGTGCTGTAACACCGAGTATGAGCACTGTGAAAGACGAACCGCGCGAAGCACCCATGGAGATTGATGCTGTTGCCCAAGCAGCCCAGATTCATTCCCAGCTCAATGGGCGACTTGGTAGGTCTTTTAATAATTGTATTTCTAGAGTTAGCTATGGCTTTGTTCGGCTTGGGAGGGGCATTTTGCCCCTTCGCTAGTTACTTTTGCAAGTTCATTATAATTGATAATTGCAGGTTGCACTTTGGTGCGACCTGTGAAGTCCTAAACTGAAGCGGAATCGGTAAAAGTGAGATGTTGGGTTTAGACTGCGTTCATACTTTGCGTCAGCGTCCAGCAGCGTACGGCAGCATTGCGTTTCGAGCGAAAGCCAGCGCTGGTGACTAGGAACGTATGGATATCGATGAATCGAACCCATTAGCGTGTTGGGGGACTTGGGAAGTTTAGTACCGATCTAGCGTCCACTGGCGTACAACAGCGTTTTCGCGAGCGATTTCGCTCAAGTTCAAATGTGCCGCGAAAACGCTGCTGTACACTGGTGGGCGCTGATAGACGCTGGCGTTTACTAGATTCGATATCTATACTTTCCTAGTCGCTGGCGCTGGCGTACGCTTGAAACGCTAGTGGACGCTGACGCGAAGTATGAACAGGATTTTACAGGTCCTTACAAGGTGACCTTGGCTAACTTCTCTACATACATGTGGTGCCCCCACCAAGCCGAACTACGCCATTGATCACAGTTGAAGTATAAAGCTTTAATCATGCAATATTTTTTCAGTAATATTTGTGAAATTTTATAGAAGCCCATGATCCGGACGCGACACCTCCTGCTGAAGATGAATCGCGGCTAGTTGTCGATGAACCACAGCAATCGCCACAACCACAGCCTGCACCAGTGGCATCAAGTTGCTGAATGATGACGTCATTTGACCAATGTCTCAAGTGGAATACGCAGACCGTGAAAGGAAAACCAGCCGACTGGCGCATCACTATGAAGCGTTCTTTACGGTCATTCGTCCACTGAAGGATGTAATTCATGGAATTCCTCTCAAGTCTTAATCCTTATTGATTTTTGTCAGTGCTCTAATCTATATATAATATTTATACTGCATATGTATATCTTTTTTTCTGTGGTGTTTTCAAAACATCATTCTTACATAACATTTTTGTTTTCTATATATCTTCATAGAGTTGGGTAATTATCATGTTCTGCTTGTTTATTGTCATGAAAGTGGAGGGGAAAAACTGCTCCAAAAGTCTCATTCTCAAAAATCTGATGATATGCGTATCGCAACATATATTCCAAACAATATCATATATTCAGGGCACGTTTTAACAAGATTTTCTGATGATTCTTATTCATTGTTCCTGGTCCGGGTCTGACAGATAGCCGTGTTGGGTTGAGACGCGTGCGGTCGCAATGCGGTGCATGCTCGTGGATCGATACGCAGCGGTCTCGTATGTATCGATCCATTAGCAACAGCTTGCGGCTCAAAACGGCAAGGCTATTGCAAGGACTTAATGTTTTGTGTGGGTGAACTGCCCACGTTCGTCTTGGTGGGGGCATTTTGCTAGTTCCCATCGATCACTTCTGATGTTTCTTCTTATGGAGACCTGTAAACTCGTGTAAAAAAATTAAGCTTCGTCACCTTTGAAAAGAGTCTACAGGTTTCACCAAGGTGAGACATGTAGTTTACCAGGTCTAACAAAAGATCTGACGAAAGTGCAAAATGCCCCTCCCAAGCCGGACAGCGCCTTGATGCGAAGGGGAATGAATGATGTCTACTGTTGTTCTTTTCAATACGATAACATATATGTGTATGATAATTGATTTTGCGTTTGTGTGCAAAGGCGGTGATCGCCCGTTTGTGACAATTGTCCGATCATTAAGACTCAGGATGTTTGCAGTTTTCTCTTGATGTGTTTTCTCACACAATTTTGTGCTCTCTGTCTTAATTTCTATTCCTTTTGTTTTAAAATCGAAATTATCTATTTGCCCATTTGCATGGTTTGAAGTATTAGATAGCCTATAAAGGACTACTGGAAGGTATGGCGTAGTACAGGTCACCTTCCAGTCAGTTCCACATAAGCACCATAGAATACCGCACCCCTCGATCTCAACCGGGTTACCCTTCCTGTTACCATTGTTGATGCCTTGTTACCAACCTCAGATTCTGAATAAATTTATTTCTTAAAGTTTTGTGAGCACATGTGAAGTGCCCAGAAGGGCTAAAGGTGCCCGGGTGTGTGGCAAGAGAATCGTAATTTACCGCGCCAGTGGGCGTCGCGTGCGACGTCGCCCCGCTAATGACGACGATTTTAGGTGGTATTGGTCGAGAATAGACAGGGTATGTCCATAGACGTAAGAGCCTGTCATGTCCTTGTTTACGTGAAATCCGATGCTCAATCGAAAGGGTAGTGCAAATTAAGGAAACGTCGCGCCCATTGCCGCGCGCGACGAAGCGGCAATTTACGATTCTCTTGCCCGTCTGCCAAGGCGCCCAGAGTGCCCAAAAGCTGTTCACTGATACTGTATTTGAGTTTGCTAGAGGGCAAGAAGGGAGTGTAGCCATGGTGCTGCTATGCATTGTGGCCGGTCGACGGCTGCGCAGGCTGCGGGGAACTCGTCCGAATTTTTTATCTATCTTTTTTATCTTTCGTCTCTGTCTAATGCCCTGGAGAGCTGAACACTAAAAGGTCCAAAAATACGCTAAAACTGCTGCCGAGGAGGTGGTACTGAGGGTGAGATGTGACTGAAAGTTTAGTTTTCACTTCTTCATCCAGAAATTAAGAATAATGGTTTAATTGCTCCTGCAGCTTATTGAATTTGAATGGAAACAGAAGTAATTTTGGCACGGTTCGTCTTGGTGGGGGCACCAAAGGTTTCAGCTAAGCTTCTACAGACCTGTGAATTGATGTGAGCGAAGTGGCTCACTGGTATCAATTCGGTTATGTTTAGTCTTGTTTTTCCTAGAGCGGGACTGCCACAGTGTTGTTCTTTGAGACGTGTCAGGGAGCTGGATTTGGCGCGGCGCCATCCTGTTCTCCACCAGCTGTTGTGGCTCGCCCGCTTCTACAATTGGTGGAGGACGGGCTGGAGCAGCTCCAAAACAGCCTAACCCCCCCCCCTCCACCAGACACGCCCCAGCCTCCGCTGCGAAATGGGCTGTTCTCTATTCATTTCATTTTTGATTTTTTATATGTTTTTTTCCATGATGTGGTCGTCAGCATGGACTCAGTGGCGTGCACTCCAGCAGAATGGTTTTTCATCTTGAACTGAAAATTCCCAGCTTCCCTATTGTTAGGATCATATTCGACCATGCCTTTCGTCTGCGATGTGTGAATTCTCATCGTGACTGCGTCACAGTTTTTTTTGGATTATTTTTTTTCAATTTTTCACCATGTGGGAGTGATATGGACCCATTTGTTTTGCTCGAGACGAACAAAAACGTAGGAATGGTGCGCAGTTGCAACGCGCATGAAGAACAAGTGCAACATAATGTCGGGTGGGATCGATTTGTTCAGTGGTGCTAATCGCGCCGTCCTGCACGAAAATAACCATAAAAAATGAATAGCAAAAACTTATTCTTCATCTCGTTACACAGAAGTGAACGGCCATATTTGTGCTACTGAAACCAATTACGAGTTGGTTAGCCAGGGTTGCTTTAACTTCTTATCGCTATATAACTATGTGCTAAAACGAATATCGATTTTACGCGTCTGATGGTTGAGCTGCAGGTGTGCGAAAATCTTGCCGTAATGACTGGCGTAATGTCCATTAGAAAGATAAATTGGTTCCTAAATGGATGATACACATCTCTGCAACACAGTGCTTAGGTGGTCATTTGTGGCCAAGAATTGAGACGTGCAGCGGTTTTCGCTGTAGAAGCTGGGGCGTGTCAGAGGGATGGGTTTGGCGCGGCACCTGCCCGTTCCCCATCAATTGTTGAAGCGGGCAAGCGACATCAATTGGTGGAAGACGATCTGGCATCGCCCCAAACTTAGCCGCCTGACCACCAGCGTCTG